ATAAACCTTCTTAAAAGAAAACCTCCCTTAGCTCCCCTGTCTAATGCTTGACCTACCTTGCATAAAAGAGAAAAAACAACCTGCCGTGACGAATAAGATTTGAATGTAAGACTAATTTACTCCCTTCCTTTGAAAACCTGTGGAAGAGGTAAAGTTTTGTTTAAAAATGTACCAGGTTGATGATGCAGAAAACCCAACTCATTGTCCCTTTGCTTGTAGAGATTAGCAGCCAGGCAGAAAGGCAGGAAACTTGGCCTTCTATTTGGACAGAGCCTGAAGATTCATTAGGCATCCTAGCTCCAAGCACCCACAAATCCCTTTGCAGTCCTTTCAGGCATCCCTCTACTTCTCCCATGGCAGTATGGGCTCTGCTGCTATTTGTCTCCCCGTTGATGATTGTGCATTACCGCCCCCTCTGAGTCAGTTATAAACTGCAGATGGGAAGTCAATATTGATAACTCTGAGCAGCATTTACTTCTACAGAGATTTCTTCCAGAAACATCACAAGTCTGTTGGAGAAGCATACCACCTAGAGCTGCTCCTTGTAGGCCTGGCTTGACGTGGGTGAGGCCTCATTTCTTGGTAGACAGGATTAGGGAGGTACATGGATCAGCAGGCTGGACACAGAATGTCTGTATTACCTAAGATGGGGGAAGGGGGGGACACTCGGGGAACCATTTACCATGGACAAGATAACAATGGATAAGATAAATAAGGAACATAAAGATGAGATAACAAATAAATTGTACATGGACAGAGTGGGAACAGAGCATGTTGTACAAGGATTGGTTCCTACAAGGTAACCAAGCCAATCCCGAAACGTGTGATGCAATGTATAATACATGCAATCTAATGTGTAAATGTATATAAAGGAAGAAGTTTGCTATGTAACTTTGGATGTGTGGTGTGCCCTGTAACCACCCCCAGTGCTTGAGCCTAATCAACTCATGCACAGTTTGATGGTATAGCTATAAAGAAACCTCAGTGATGAGTTCGGAGTTAAACTGAGTTGCTGGGAAGTGAGTGGATAAGGTCTCAGAAGCCACCCCAACATACTCCTGAGTAGATAGGGACTCAGTGGCTACGCCAACACTCCTCACATTCACCCACCCACCACTCGCTCCAGCTAACAGAAATCACATGTGGTTCCAAACAAAAATTGTTCATGTGAGGGACTGCCTCCTAATTGGAGTTAGGGGAACATGTTGAGTACCAGGCGATGGATGCCAAGTATTTGTCCTTGTTTGCTGCCCCTTTTGACATGGAGTGTAGAGCAGCAAAGGACCCAAGGTCTGTCCCATCATTTGCACCATCACAATCTGCAGTATTAATTAAATGAATCCTTACCCATCTTCCTTCACTTGCTCAAAAACTTCAAGAGGACATCTTCAAACTACATTTACTTGGTCTTCCATCTGCTGGTTTTCTATTCTCTAGTTTATCTTTACCACTCTCAGTGATCCTTATCCTTTGTCATTTTGTTTTTCCTTTACAGTAACTGAAGATTGTTTTGCCCTCTGTATAATGTACACATACAAAGACCATTCCAAATATAGGTTTTATATTTAAATTATTACATGAACCATGCAGAAAAATATATTACTAATGATCTTTAAAGACTGAAATTCAAATGATCAGATTCCACATGCAGCATTATGAGCATTAATAAAGGCAAGGAAGACTGAACTTGGTAAGTTTTTTGGGGAGATGGTATGATGAGGTTGCCTACAATGGCATATGGCCCATCTGCAACTGCTGTGAGTAAATGTCTCCAGCTGCTGGACATGGGGCAGTAGATGGGGAGGGCTCTGAGTTACTACAGAGAATTCTTTCCTAGGTGTGTGTCTGGTGGTTCTTGACCACATGCTCAGGGTCTAATTGATCACCATATTTGGGGTCAGGAAGAATTTTCCCTTAGGTCACATTGAAAGAGACCCTGGTGTGGTTTTTGTTTGTTTGTTTGTTTTTTCCGTCCTCTGCAGAGATCACTTGCTGGTTTGAACTAGGTAGTAAATAGTGGATTCTCTGGAACTCAAAGTCTTTAAATCAAGATGTGAGAACTTCAGTTACTCAGCCAGAGGTTATGGGACAACCACAGGAGTAGATGGCTGAGGTTCTGTGGCCTGCACTGTGCAGGTCAGACTAGATCATGATGGTCCCATCTGGCCTTAAAGTCTATGAATAAGACTCTTATGGACCAACTTCTAGTTGGAACAAATGGGATTGCTACTTTGGGTCATGCATCTCTCATGTCTGGAAAGCAATTTTCTGGAGTACTTATATGTGGTATCAAGTCTAAGCAGTAAATGTACTTTCCATAATTAAACTATAACAATTTATAATTACCTCAATACAAGTTCTAATTAGTTTTTTAATGGTTATTGTTTTCACAATGCAATTTAAAGTATCAGTAAATGAATATATCAAGAGAAATTCTTGCGCTACTTTTGGCAAATCTGCATTTTGCTAGCTACCCCAGTGTTACATATGTAATGTATGAATTAAATAAATTTAAACCAGCTTCACTTTTTTATTTGTGCACTAAAAGTTATCACCTTCTGCAGGATAATGTTAATTAAGGTCTGCATTCTAATTTTTGTATATCCACTTGTGTCTTGCAGATTGCCCTTCCCAGCTCAATGGTGCATATTCCACAAGGAATTCTGTTCTACAGATTTTGAAAATACATGGCCATGTTCTGGAGAGATTTGGGTATTTGTGCAAAAGGACTGGAATACCAAATCATGTGGTATGTACTCATAGGAAGTCTCTTTTTTCATGACCTTACAAGGCCTGCAGCCTTTATGCGATACCTTATTGTGCAATACAGGGAAAAATACATCAGAAACAAAAAATGTCTTCTGCTCCACTCCTCATGTGATGCTTTATTCCCTCACACACTTTTAGTTTGCCAAAGGGTCATTTAACCATTGTTTGGCAATTTCCAAAGGGGGAAAAAATGCTGGGTTACATCCAAAGGAAGGGAGGAGCTTTTTAAAGTTTTGTATTTAATCTGATTATAAATACACAACTTCACCCTTTTAACATTAGTCATGTCTGTGCTAGAAGGGAGAGTACAAAAGTGCCTGACTAAAGAGTGCAAAATTTTCCATAGTTCGGAACTGTAGACAGGCAATTCAAACTAACATTTCAAATATATCATACTCGGCATAAGAAAGCGCAGCAAATCAGGAGCAAGCCTAAAAATAAACAACTTCTCCTAGGATCTAACACATTTCCTTATATCTCACTGGCTACTTTTCAGAAGGAGTATTAGACAAAAATAATACAAGTGGGAAATAAAGAGAATGACCTACTTTACAAAAAAGAGCTCTCTGTAAAGGTTTTGCTCTAATTGACGGTGTGGAGTTGCATAACCAAATAAGGAGTTACTGTTTATGCCTGTAGTAGCTGAGAACCTTGCTTTAGGTAATGGAGTTCTCTGGCCTGATATGGTTCCCACTGAAATCTCTAGCAAAGCCCCCATTAACTTAAATGGGGCCAGGGCCCATAGTCCTCATTATGGACCCAGCCCTGTTATCCTCCGGTCATGGGACAATCAATTAATCTCATGTACTGGGAGATAGCCATCAAGATTTAGACAGGGAGGAGGCAAGGATACAATGTTTTATGTTGCTATGCCTTTCCATGGGATCGGAATATTTCTCCTAGTTGTGGATCAGTGGTTTGTGATGTTACTCTTCAGTTTCAGAATTGTACCTTAGAAGACGGGGCTGTTAGTGAAAATATGGTATTTAACACTTATGCCTTAAGTAGCTTGTTGGGTTATAGTTGGCTAAACCTGAGGATTCTCACTTCCTATAAGGGGTGAGAAGGATGGTCTTGTAGTTGAGTCCTGGGTATAAGAGCTTGTGAGGGAGGGGTTCTGTGGCTCTACAACAAACACCCACTGTCATCACCTAACCCAGTGGTTCTCAAACTTTTGTTCTGGTGACCCCTTTCACATAGCAAGCCACTTCGTGTGACCCCCCCTTATAAATTAAAAACATGTTTTATATATTTAACACCATTATAAATGCTGGAGGCAAAGCAGGGTTTGGGGTGGAGGTTGACAGCTCGCAACCCCCCATGTAATAACCTTTGGACCCCCAGTTTGAGAACCACTGACCTAACCTCTTTGTGCTTCAGTTTCCTCAATTATAAAAAGGGGGGAGTGATATTTATATCTCTCCTTGGTGTTATGAGGCTTAAAGCATTAATATTTATAAAGGGGATCATCAGATGAAAGGCTCAGAGTATTATTGTTTTTAAAGTGTGCATATACCAGAGGGTTGTAGGGTTAAGCGATCCTACCCTCTCTAACCTGGTCACTATAGGAGGAGAGTGGCATAGCTAAAGAGTTTTAAACCCACACTCTACATCAGGGGTCGGCAACCTTTCAGAAGTGGGGTGCCGAGACTTCATTTATTCACTCTGACTTAAGGTTTTGTGTGCCAGCAATACATTTTAATGTTTTTAGAAGGTCTCTTTCTATAAGTCTATAATATATAACTAAACTATTGTTGTATGTAAAGTAAATAAGGTTTTTAAAATGCTTAAGAAGCTTCATTTAAAATTAAATTAAAATGCAGAGCCCCCCAGAGCGGTGGCCAGGACCTGGGCAGTGTGAGTGCCGCCGAAAATCAGCTCGCGTGCCGCCTTCGGCACGCGTGCCATAGGTTGCCTACCCCGTCTACATTTTCTGGCCAGCTTAAACTGCGGTCGTTCCTTAGGATCTGGAACACAGCAGAATTAGCAAAGATCAACTGCCGCTTTATGCTCTGTCGTTCACTGTGCATATGTATAAATATAGCTAAGTTGATATTTGCTCTCCGCATTGTGAAGAAACCCTCCCTGTTTTTTCTTCTTCTGTGCTTTCTCTAGCCCCAGCGTCTCCTTTTGTTGGATCCTCGCCTGTCTCCTCCCACAGAAAGGGGGGGGGGTGGGAAGAAAAAAGGTCACGTATGTTTGGAAAAATATGTAGGTCAGTGGAACATTTCCTGCACTTGTGCAAAGGGAGGCAGGGGAGGGAGCGCTCCTCTCCTTCTCTCTGCAGCTTTTTCTTCCCCACCCTTTTCTTCCCAAAAGCAAAACCACCCGCTCTTCAAAAGGGGGGAGACGGGAAGCGATCAGCGGGTCCCTTTTCAGCCCTGACCAATTTTGCAGCCCAGCTACCTTTTCCTTGCAAGAGAGTCCGATTATAGCAAAGCAGCCCCCGCCTCCCCCCTCCAGCTAATTCGGCAACCACGCATTAGCCCTCCCGCAGGAGCTGCACCCCGATGATCGCCGGGCGCAGGCCGGGCTGCGCCCCAAAAGCTCTGCTGAGCGGGGGTGGGGGACGATGCAGGATTTGCTGGGAGGATGCTCCCTCCTCGCCCCTGGGGCACCAACTTTAAGGAGCAGTCCCGGGATTGCAGCCTCCCTGCCTCGCCCCTCAGTGCATTTAACTTAATGCACCAGGACGGACCCCAGCCAGCAGCCCCTCTGCCCCCCTATTTCCTTCTCCTCGCCCCGCAGCAGCCCGGGGTGCCGGCTGGTTGGCGGTCCCGGTGGAGCCCGCGCTGCCGCGTGTCTCTGTGCGGTGCGGCGGGGAAGCGGGAGCCCGGCATGCGACGTCCCCTTGCACCATGAGATACAGCGGGGGCAGCAGCAGCAGCAGCCCCAGCAGGAAGGCGGCGGCCAGACCCCCGGGCTTGTCGTGTGCGAGGACGAGTTTGCCGGCTCCCGAGCCTGGCCTCTTGCGCGAGTGGAGCAGCCGCAGCGGCACCGGGAGGCACCAGAAAAGCGGCGGCATCAAGCCCAGCAGCAGCCGGTGTCAGAGCGGCCGCGGCTCCCGCGCTCAGGTCGCCACAGCGGACAGCAGCAGCAGCTGGGCTAAGCCGGCCCGCCTCCCCCAGCACCCCAGGTAAGGC